AAAAATACACACATACGATGAATAAGGAAAAGAAGAAAAAAAATTAAAAAATACACACATATCCGATGAAGAAGGAAAAGAAGAAAAAATAAAAAATAAAAAATCACACACACATACGATGATAAATGTATGAAAATGAAACCTAACGACCGATGTGATGTATGCATTAAGTTCCGCCGATGGCCTGGTCGTGTTGCAGGCCGGGGGTTCTCGGCGCGTCACTGCAATTCATGTGGGGGTTTTATCTTAGCTTTTTTCTTTCTCTCTCTTTCTTTCTTGCTTTTTTTTTTTTTTTTTTTTTAGTTTTTTTCTTTTTTTTTTTCTTTTTCTTTCTTTCTCTCTTTCTTTTTCTTTATCTATTTTTCTTCTTTCTTTCTTTTTCTTTCTTTCTTTCTTCTGTCTTTCTTTCTTCTTTCTCTCTCTCTCTCTCTCTCTCTTCTCTCTCTCTCTCTCTCTCTCTCTCTCTCTCTCTCTCTCTCTCTCCTCTCTCTCTCTCTCTCTCTCTCGCTCTCGCTCTCTTCTCTCTCTCTCTTCTTTCTTTCTTTCTTTCTTTTTTGAAGACTTCTTAGATTTTTAGACTTTTTTTAAGACCTTGAATTTTTTTCTTTTTTGAATTCTTAGCTTTTTAAAGACTTTTTTTTGAAGACCTTGGATTTTTTTTTTTTTTTTTTTTTTTTTTTTTTGCTTTTTGAAGACTTCTTAGCTTTTTAAAGATTTTTTTAAGACTTTAGATTTTTTTAAAAGACCTTAGATTTTTTATGTGTGTGTTCTTTCAGAGTGTGATGTCTGTTTTCTTTTTTCTTTTTGTTGTTGCTGCTGATTTATTGCTTTTATCTGAATCAATCTTATTATTACTAGTATTTTTGACATCAACATTTTCATGTTTATTCTTTTATTGTGGTTATGATCGTTATTATGATCATTATTATTACTATTATTATCATTACTGTTGTTTTAATTATTAGCACCATTGCTATTATCATATTTGTTGATATTATCATAATCATAATAACAATCGTAATAATAATAATGATTATTATTATTATCATTATTACTTTTATTATCATTTTTATATCATTATTGTTATTATTATTATTACTATTTTCATTATTATCATTATCATTGTTATTATTGTTGTTATTGTCATTGTCATCATTATCATTATCAATATCATTATCATCGCCATGATCAAGATCACTGTAAATTTTACTGTTATCATTTTATCATCATTGTCCTTATCATCTTATCACTAGTATTGTTATCGCCATATTCATTATCATCTTTATCACCATATGATCACTGTCATCATTTCTACCATTACTATTATTATTATTATCATTACGACCATTGTCATTACGTTTATCATCATTACCATTACTATCATTATCACAATATGATCATTCATCATCAGTATTCTGTTATTCCAAATCTTTACCCTCATCATCATTATCATCTATCACTATTAACATTAGTTATATTATTATCCCCCTTAGGAGATAGGGGGGGAAGGAGAAAGGGAAAAGGGGAGGGAGAGAGAGGGGAAAGGAAGGAGAGAGAGGGGAGGACGGGAGGAAATAGGGGGGGGGGAGAGAGGGGGAACGGAGAGGGAGAGAGGGGGTGAAATTGTTTGTTGTAGGAGGAGGAAGGAGGGAAGGAGAGGGGAAAGGGAAGAGAGAGAGAAGGAGAGGGAGAGTTGGAGAGAAAGAAGGGAGTTGAGGAGGAGGAGGAGGAAGAAGGGGAGGAAAGAGAAGAGGAGAGGGATGGGGAAGAAAAAATGAAAAAGAAGAGGAGAATGGAAAAGGAGGAGGAGAAAGAAGAGGAGGGATGGGGAAGAACGAAATGAAAAAAGATAAAGAAGAGAATGAGAAAAAGAAAGAGGAGGATGCTGTGCAAATGAACAAATAAACAAATAAACAATGCTCACTCACGAAAACAAGTTTTAGATACAAGCAAATGCATACAACAATAATCCAATAAACAAGAGGATAAGAAAAATATACGATGAAATGGATACACAAAACCAAAAAGGATTAATGAAAAATAAATAGATAAATAAATAGACAAATAAGATATTTAGCAACGTCATTGATTAAGTGTGACAAATGTGCAAATAATAGTTATGAGAGAGAGAGAGAGAGAGCAGAGAGAGAGAGAGAGAGGGGGGGAGGAAGGGAAGAGAGAGAGAAGAGAAGAGAGAGAGAGAGAGAGAGGAGAGAGAGAGAGAGAGAGAGAGAGAGAGAGAAGAGAGAGAAGAGAGAGAGAGAGAGAGGGGGGGGAAAGACAGAGAGAGAGAAAGAGAGAGAGAGAGAAGAGAGAGAGAGAGAGAGAGAGAGAGAGAGAGAGAGAGAGAGAGAAAGAGACAGTGAGAAAAAAAAAAATAAAAAAAAAAAAAAACTATACATCTAAACAGAAAATTAAAAAAAAAAATAAAAAATAAAAAAAAGCAAACGCGTATCGAATCTATCTTCAGCGAATGGGCAAATGGTCCCGCCCGCGCCCATCGCCGCCCGGAAACAATGGGGCATTTGACTCTCCTGTTCGTGGGCGGCGGGCGCTCGGGGACCAGGCGGAGCAGACACGGGCGGGTCACGGCCATGCGCTGGAGGGCCTCACTCTCCTTCTCTTCTCTCTCTCCTCCTCCTTCTCCTCCTTCTCTTCTTTTTCTTCCTCCTTCTCCTTCTTCTCTTTCTTCTCTTCTTTTTCTTTTTCTCTTCTCCTTCTCCTTCTTGTTCTTCTTCTTCTTTTCTTTTTTCTTCTTCTTCTTCTTCTCCTTCTCCTTCTTGTTCTTTTTCTCCTTCGCGTTCTTGTTCTTCTCTTTCTTCTTCTTCTTCTTCTTGTTCTTCTTTCTTCTTCTCTGTTCTTTCTTGTTCTTCTTCTTCTTCTTCTTCTTCTTTCTTTTCTCCTTCTCCTTCTTCTTCTCCTTCTCCTCCTCCTCCTTCTTATTCTTATTCTTATTCTTCTCCTTCTCCTTCTCCTTCTTGTTCTTCTTCTCCTTCTTCTTCCTCTTCTCCTTCTTCTTCTTCTTCTTTATCTTCTCTTTCTTCTTCTTCTTCTTATCCTTCTTGTTCTTGTTCTTCTTCATCCCCCTCTTCTTCTTCTTCTTCGTCTCCTTCTTCTTCTTCTTTTTCTTCTCCTCTTCCTTCTCCTTTTTCTTCTTCTTCTTCTCCTCCTTCTCCTCCTCCTTCTCCTCCTCCTCCTCCTTCTTTTTTCTTCTTCTCTTTCTCTCTACTCTCCCCTATCCTACTTCTTGTTCTCCTGCTCTGCCCCTTCTCTCTCCCTTCTCATCTATTTTCTTTCTTACATTTTACTTCTCTCTCCTCGTCCTTCTTCTCCCTCCTCTTACTCCCCTTCTCCTCCTCATTCTCCCTCTCTTCTGCTAATTTGCTCCTTCTCTTGCTCAGTCACTTTTGTTTTCTATTCCATTATCTCCTTTTCATTTTTTTTCTTTCGTTCTCCCTCTTTCCTCTCCCCTCTCCCCTATGCTTTTCCCTCTTCCTATCTCCTTTTCTCCCTTTCTCTCCCCCCTCCCCATTCTCTACCATTTTCTCACTTCCCCTTGTCCCTCCCTCTCTCCCTATTCCTCTTTTATCTTCCCTTCTTTTTGCCTGTCCTTTCACCCTTTTCACTCATCTTTTCCTTCCTTATCCCTCTCTCCTTTTCTCCTTTCCTTTCCCACTTTGTTCTTTCCTTCCTTCTCTTAATAGCATTTTTACTACATTATCTGTCTCTTGATTCTGTTCTGTAACTGATAAAAAAGAGAAAAAGAGAGAGAGAGAAAGGAAGAAAAAGAAAGGGGAAAAAGAGTGAGGGTGATAGAGATAGAGAAGGTGGAAGATATGGAGAGGAGAGAGAGAGAGAGAGAAGAGAGAGAGAGGAGAGAGAGAGAGAGAGAGAGAGAGAGAGAGAGAGAGAGAAGAGAGAGAGAGAGAGAGAAGAGAAGAGTTAGAGAGAGGAGAAGACAGAAAGAGAGACTTAGAGGAGAGAGAGAGGGAGGAGACAGACACAGACACAGAGAGAGAGAGAGACAGACAGACAGACAGACAGACAGAAATAGAGCCAGATAGACAGGTAAACAGAGACAGCGAGAGGAGGGGAAAGGGGGACTGGACCTAAAACAAAGCAATCCCTGTGCTTGTTGTCCACTAATGGTCATTCCTTTTTGAGCTCGGTGTGTATTGGAGAGCGCTAATGGCTACACAGCTTAGTAATGGTGTCCTGTGTCCGACTGCAGATAAAGACTGCATCATTCAGCATAGGGTGACCAAGTATGATGAACCGCGATGATGATGATGATGCGATGGTTTAATCAAATCAAATAGGAGTCGATATAAACAATCATCTTTAATGTGGTGCTTGAACAATTGGCCCATAATCGTTGGAGGTGGTAATGGTTTTCCGTAAAGAGGTCGTGTTGGCAGAGGTGGTATTTTGGTGTTTTCCGAAGGGTGGGAAAGCGAAGATCCGGTCGTTAATGCAATAATATGGAAACCGGTGATTGAGTCTTCAATCCCCCCCCCCCCTTGTATCCCTCCCTCTCTCTCTATTCCTCTTTTTATCCTTCTTCTCTTGCCTGTCCTCTCACCCTCTTCACTCTCCTTTTAATTCCATATCCTTCTCTCCTTTTCTCCTTTACTCTCTCTCCCTCCTTTACCACTCTATTCTTTCCTTACATTCGTAAATATCCTCGATGATTGTGCTATTTTTTCCACAAACAAAAAAAGCTTCAGCATTTTCCTATAATACAATCATCCACCCGTACCCAAAAAAAAATAAAATAAAATAAAATAAATAAAGATGAAAAACAAAATAGAAATAAAAATAAATATAAATAAAAAAGAAAAGAAACAAATAGAAAAATAAAAACAATAAAAAAGTCCCTTGAGAGAAGACCTCCACCACCCCCGCGAAGCCCCAAAAGCCCTCTGGGGCGAGAGGAACCCCCACCGAGGACTCGGCGTTGTAAAGTCATCCCGCGGAATAGCACAGTCCAAACAGAGGCAGGGAGACGATCGTTCCTCAGAATGGGTAACTTCGGAAAATGAGACAATCGCATCATTCAAGCCCTTGTTTACCCGCAGCTTCGGCTTCGACCAAATACAAGCAAGGGGGTACATTAGCTCGAGCCTTTGGAGGGGAGGTCCGTGCGCGTCGGGGTGTTATAACAGGTTCATCACATCTCGAAATAGAACGGCCATGTCTCGTTGGGTAGGTTGTGGTCGCTGAGATTATCGTGTCTGACAGAAGCGGATCTTGTTATCGTGTGGCTCGCTGGTTTGCTTGGATTGGGTTGGGGGTTGGGTTGGGGATGGGCGCTTGTCACGAGGTCTTTTCGCACACACACACGCTCTCACTCTCTCTCTCACACACATACACGCACTCTCTCACTCTCTCTCTCTTTCTCTCACACACACATACACACACTCACACATACACATACACTCTCTCACACACACCCATGCACACACGCATATACACACATACACACTAACACACATACACTCACACACACCCACTCTCACACACACACTCATACACACACACTCATACGTAGACACACATATTCACACACATGCACACACACTCACACTTATACACACACACATACCCACATTTAACACACACTTAGACACGCACACATACTCACACTCACACACACACACACACACACTCACTCATACATACACACACATAAACGCGCATATACGCATGGAAATTATATACAGTATACATACAATCATAAAATGCAATTAAATATATATATATATTTTTTTTTTTTTTTTCTTTCATCCATTTTGTTTTTATATACACAAACAGAAACGGGAGGAAATGACGTAAGTGAAGAAAAACAAATAATTTAGACTGATGTTTCTCTATTTAGTCTTCATCGCGCCCGGCCATTTCCAGAGCGAAGAATGTATATGTGTATGTGTATGTGTATGTGTACAGTGTGTTTGTGTGTGTGTGTTTAGTTTCAGACAAGATGTATGTGCTCCTGTTTACGTTTCGCTTATTCAGAGAACCATACATTGCTTAATCACTCCACAAGTAATTCGCTAATCTCAAACTGGCCAATTTTGACGTACCACTACCTCTAACTTGCATATTCGTGTTCCAGCATTAAGTATACGGCATTTCTACCATACTTTTCACTCACGATTTATCGAACCTTTTTCCAGATTCTAGTCTTTGTCCTAACTGTATTAAAACTACCTGAAGGTTTTTCGAATATAAGGAGTAAGACTGAGGACTCGCAAGATAAATCTCCATGGCGTTTGGATTTGGATGCCTTTTGGCCTGCTGTGGAGGAATTCACTGCCATGCACTCCCATTTAGCTACGCATGACGGTAAGAGAAAATATGATTCATTGTTGTTTGTCCTCGTCTTTTTCTTTTTTCTTCTCTTTTGTTTTGTTGATTTTTATGTTGTTTTTTTTTCCTTCGTTTTTTCCGTCGCCGTCAATTTCTTTTTATGTTGTATCATTCTTTTATCTATCTACTGCCGTTACTGTTATTGATTTTGCTATCATTAATAATAGTATAATTTTTTTTTACAACTAATTACATTATTGTCAATTATTCTTTTCCTATTTTCATAATTGTTTCGTATATATTGCTGGTATTACTGTCATCAATGTGAGGTAAAATCATTAAAATATAGATTTAGGAATGACAGTTCTCATATGTGTGTGTGTGTGTGTGTGTGTGTGTGTGTGTGTGTGTGTGTGTGTGTGTGTGTGTGTGTGTGTGTGTGTGCTTGTGTGTATGTGTTCGTGAGCGTTTGCGTTTGCGTGTGCGTGTGTGTTTGTGGTTGTGTGGATGTACGTATCACGTGCAACAAAGAAAATATCTATATTCTCATTTTCAGAACTGTTATCGTCTTTTCTCACATCCTCCCTCCTCCTTCTACCCTTAAACCCTTTTCTTTCCCAAAGACGACATCGAAACTTTCCTCCGAGCGAGAGAGGGACGACATCCCGACGAAGGCGAAGCAGGAGACGAGGGCGAGAGGCTGTTCCACCTCCTCTACACGCCCTCCCCAACGCCACCCGGTTTTAGCAGCTTCCTGGACCTTCTGCAGTTTGCTGAAGAGCTGCGTGGTGTCATTAATCGCTTGTCTGGTACGTGGTGGTTCAGTCGGTTTCGTAAAAGGTCTGTTTATGTTCTGCTCATTCACTTGAACAGAGTGGGCGAGATAAGATCGGAACATGCTCTTCATGGGCGCGATAACTGTTAACATTTCTTTGATGGTGAGGATAGTATCTAACACGTCTGTGAAGATGCTGATAAGGTCGAACATTTCTGTGACAACATGAACGTGCTTCTTATCAACAGCTACCTTTTTATGGCTATTTTTTTTTTCCTATTTTTACTAAAGTTTGTGTATATAATATATATATATATATATATATATATATATATATATATATATATATATATATATATATATATATATATGTGTGTGTGTGTGTGTGTGTGTGTGTAATGTTTGTATTGTGTATATACGTCTGTATGTATATCTATCGTGTGTGTGTGTCTATATATATATATATATATATATATATATATATATATATATATATATATATATATATTATATACATCACATGAGAAAGACTGTATGAAAAGAAAAGAGAGTGAGAAAGGAGAAGAGGAGCAAGAGTAAACTAAAAGCGAAAGTGAAAGTAAGATATTTTATTTCCATCGATATGTAATTACTTTTAGCTTGTGTATTTTCTAAAAATAGTTTTATATGTCACATGAGCATCCTTCTTTAGTGATTCTAATAAGACTTGATAGAATATATCTTCTATTGACAATTATTCACACATTTCCAGTAATCCCGAAGATATTAAGACAAAAACAAATAAATGTTATCAGATATATAGTGACTTAAAACCAATGATCCTTATATATCTGGCACTGTCTTTTTTATGAATTCTAAACTAATGAGATTCTAGAGTTAATCAAAGCTAGATTGACATTCTTTTGCATTTACGATAATTTGCGCGTCGAACCTTTCAGGAAATGTATTTTTCTTCGTTTATTGATATATTATCCATTAGTTTTCCTAATAGAACTCAATAGGATTCCGATTATTCGAGTTAATTTTCCTTTTCTCTCAGTATGGAATGCCTGTATATTTCAGAACAAGACGAAGACGCTGAAGAAAATACATCACCTCGACAACATCTTTACCCTGAAAAGAAAGAACAAGGCCAAAGATCAGATGAGTCTCCCCTAGAAGATGTCGAAGAGTCCAAAGAAAACGGGAAGATTTCGGAGCAAGACGATGAAAACAGACTCGTAGAAAACGGGGACTCGACCAAGCCAAAAACGGAAGGGCAAAAAGACGTCATAAAACCCACACAGAAGAACACCAACTGGATCGAAAATCCTGAAGGCTTCGAAGATGCAGGAGACCCAGCGAGAAGGCCTCGTCGTTGCTCAGGCGTCCACCCAACGCCAGAGGAAGACCCCGCAGAACCACGCACAACGGACGGCAAGAAACACCGCAAAAGCCACAAACCTTACTTCTCAACTTTTACCTTCTCGTTTCCTCTGTTTGAGTTCGATGTCCCCTTTTCCAATTTCAAGATCCTGCCTCTTACCGACCCTTATGCTTTGCCGGAGGACGAATGAGTATTAATAGTAGACCTACTAAGTGTAAATACAATTTAAAGACCCATTTTATGTGCGTTGACTATATCATGTTGACTTGTGGTCATATCACTCTTTCTTTCGCCATCTTTCGTTAATCAATTGAATTTTGGTGTTATTTTGAAAAGGCACATTAGCTAAATATTATTTTGATATGTTTCATGTGTTATGTTCATTGACTTTATCAATATCAGGTACCTTATCAAGGTGTTTTCTTTTCTTTTTTTTACTGGACATATAATTACACAGTTATAATCTAGATGGGGAATAAAACTTAAGTAATGACACTTGTGATGAATTTTCCCTTTCTGTTGAGATAACAAGAATTAAGACATTTCAGGAAAAGGGACAATAAATGAAGATGAAGCGAGTATGAATTTATTTAACAAATATACTCTACAACCAAGTATTTAAGAAAGTTTGATGTTTGCTTATATCAGGCACAAAGCGATTCCAGAAAAAAACACGTTAAAATTCGTTATTAAGATCTATCAACAAAACAAATCAAGTGTTCCATGTGTATATTTTGAAGTGCAAATTAAATCCAACTCGATGCAACAGAATGTGTTCAGTAATAATTAATTAGTATAGTTGCTTCTCTTCTTTTGCCACACGCTGATATTCTACGTCACTGTTGATAAAACACAAAACAAAAAAAACAAAAAAAAAAAAAGTCTTTCAACTTGAGTTCTGATGTATTTCACATTAATTTGCATTATAAACATCAACTATTAGTCATTTCAACTTGATCACGCACGCGAACATACAGAGAACAGAGAGAAAGACAGAAAGACATAGACAGGGAGAATGGTTTCATTCCCATCCCTATTCCTCTGGCAAGGGCAAGGGGTCCTGCAGAGACAAGAGCCGGAAGTTGCTGAAAGGCAAGTCGAACTGAAAGAGGGGGAAGGACGTGGAAAAGCTCGTTATAAATGGCTTGTGTCTCCAATGTTTCCCTTTCTGGCTTGTCTTGCCTTCATCCCTTTCGCTGCGAGGAAACCTGTCGTGGTGGCGGCGGTCGTTCGCGTTCTCGTCCTCCTTCCATTCCTCTCTTCCTTCCTTTTCCTCCCTGATTCCATCCTCTCCTTCTATGCCTTCTTCCCTTCTGAAGTTTGTCTGCAGTTCAGGGACATCACTCTCTTTGGTTCCTTCAGGAGGGGAAGACTCTGTGAGAGGTCCTCCTTCAACTTCCTCTTCCTGGAATGAATCTGTAGCTTCTTTTCCTTCTCTTTTTCTTCTTTCCTCCTTTCTTCCTTCTCCTCCTCCTCCTCCTTTTCCTTCTCTTTCTTCTCCTCCTTTTCCTTCTCTTTCTCCTTCTCCTTCCTTCTTTCTCCTTCCTTTCCTTCTCTTTCTCCTTCTCCTTTTCCTTCTCTTTCTCCTCCTTTTCCTTCGCTCTCTCCTTCTCCTTTTCCTTCTCTTTCTCTTCCTCCTTTTCCTTCACTTTCTCCTTCTCCTTCTCCTTCTCCTTCTCCTTCTCTTTCTCTTTCTCTTCCTCCTTTTCCTTCTCTTTCTCTTCCTCCTTTTCCATCTCCTTCTCCTTCTCCGTTTCCTCCTTCTCTTCCTTTTCCATCTCCTCCTTCTCCGTTTCCTCCTTCTCTTCCTTCTCCTTCTCCTTTTTTCTCTTCTCCCCCTCCTCCTCCTCCTCTTCGACGGTCCCACGAGTAAGAATAATCCTGCTTCTGGTCGTCTCCTGAATCACCGGGAAGATCATATTCTTCGTGTTCTGTAAATTGCAAAGATGGATATTATATCATCAGATAATATTTATGATCCATGAAATTATGTTGCTGAATCAATACTGTTTGATAATTGGAATATATAGAAAATAAAGGAATATTAGTTCTTCACACACACATGCACGCACACACACACACCACACGCACACACACACACACACACACACACACACACACACACACACACACACACACACATAAAAACACATGCACACATACATAAACACACAAACACACACATAAAGACAAACACAGACACATAAAGACAAACACACACACCTGCAATGCGAGAGACAGCTTCGTGAATATCCACAGCAAATTGCACAAGATCAACAATATTGTCCCATCCCGGCGAATACCCGGTGGGCGTGTGAAGAAATTGGAAGATGCCTTCACTGTCGTCTTCCCCGTCGTAGTTGTCTGCGTAGTCATCTTCGTCGCTGTCTTCGTAGTCGTCTTCGAAGTTATCTCCATAGTCGTCTTCGAAGTTATCTCCATAGTCGTCTTCGCTCTCGTCGCGTTTCTGTCGTCGTGGTCGGTTTTCATCTGTGACATTGTATCTTTTTTTTAGGAATAGTTACAGTAATTGCAGCAGTATTGACATTTATAAGGAAAAGCTGACATAAATAAGAAATATAAAGAAAACAATAAGGATAATGATAATACTCATCACAATATCAACAATCTTGCTAATGACAGTGATTACTATTACAATACTAATAATATTGATATAATAACATCAGTGGTGACAATGGCCTTAATAATCATTACAGTTACTAATACAATAGCAATAACAGTAAAAGTAACGAACATAATAACACAACAATAGCAACAATAATGGTGTCAAGATAAAATGACAAGCATTCACTCATATTTTTCCCTCATATATTTCCTTTCTCTCTGCCTCTTCTTCTAATCTATTTTCATATTCTCCAACATCCCTTTTCACCATCTATGCATTATTCTCTCTCTACTTTACTTCACCCTCCTATATATCCTTTATGTATCTATTGTCTTTTCTTTGAATCTTTTTCTGTCTGTCTGTCTGTCTCAGTCTATCTTTCTCTATCTGTCTGTCTGTCTCTGTCTCTGCATATCTCTGTCTGTCTCTGTCTCTGTCTATCTGTCTGTCTGTCTCTGTCTATTTGTCTCTGTCTGTCTGTCTCTGTGTCTGTCTCTGTCTATGTGTCTCTGTGTCTGTCTGTCTCTGTGTCTCTGTCTGTCTGTGTCTGTCTGTCTGTCTTTGTCTCTCTCTCTCTCTCTATCTATTGTTTTATCTTAACATATACAGAAATGCATATATATATTAAACGTATCCAGAGCTATACACACGAACTGCAATACAGTCATACACAGGGAAATGCATATACACTCGCGTAACCCTAACCATACTCGACCATAAAGACACACACGGGTCTACAGAATTCATGCATAAAGACAAAAGTCCACTTTCAAAATCATACACAGCTACAAACGTCGACTTACAAGACATATATACAACTACAAACGCCCACATACAAGACATATATACAACTACAAACGCCCACATTCGAGACATATAAACAACTACAATCGCCCACATACAAGACATATATACAACTACAAACGTACACACAAATTATGGATTCATAAACAGATGCAAGCGGACGGACAAACGCATACAGTCAAGATGTAAATAAAGAAAAGAAAATAAATAAATAAAATAATCAAACGGACGCATACAGGTCTCGTACATAGAGGGAACAACACGCATACACGACATTCACAATCACAAAATCTTACGTAAAAAAAAAAAAAAATAAAATAAAAAATAAAAATTAAAAAAGAAGAGAAAAAACAACATACAACTCATTAGCACAAAACCAAAATCTTACATAAAAAAATAAATATATACAATGTACATTAGCACACGAGTACAAAACCCACTCTAATAATACTACCACACATCTGTCCCTCACACTAACCTGGCACCTGGTCATGGAGATCCAGGAAGGCATCCACTGCGTCCCAAAAGCTCTCGGGGTCAGTCATCCAAGGACTCCTTTCGCTGGCGTCCTCGAAGTCCTCGGGGTTGCTGACCTCAGAGGCTCCAAGAGATGATGTCGC